GACAAGAGGCAATTGCAGGACTGCTTGATTGTTCAGCTAATGCTCTGACCAGCAGCAATTACCATTCTCTCCTGGGGAGTGCCTAGGTACCTATATAAAGAGGCTGAAAATATTTGGGTGGGGCTTTGTTGCGTTTCAGCTGGTGACATTTTAATGCAAGTGCACCTGAGAGGCAGTCTTTGGGAGCACTTGGTGCTGGAGAGGTAGTTGGTAGTATTGAACTGGTTTTATATTTTCCTAAAGCCTGTAATTAATCTAGACTTGAGAGGCAGAATGAATTGATTCTTTTCATGAATCATATTCTCTGCCCCCTGTACTTGTAGACCAACGTACCATCATATCAGAATGTGTGCAGAGAAGACAAAAGGAAGTCTCAATCCCTGAATCTTAATATATCTTTTATTTTCTTAACAAGTAGATAGTATACACCAGCAGTCTGCCACTTTCCTAGTAAAGACAACGCAAAGAGATCAAACAAAGATATTTGGAGAATTAATTTGGGATTTTTTCTTTTTTTTTTTCCCTCAACAAAATCTATGTCTTGGAAAAGAAATATTAACTGGGGTTTTGTCAATAGTACTATTATTATTATTATTTTCCCAATGGATGGTAGATGTAGCTTTTCAGACATCTTTCTTGCATGTCAGAGCCAATAATCAGTCAGTGCTAAGTCATGTGTTACTATGAACTGCTAGAAGTTACAACTGATAAAATTAAGACTTTGATTATTGACTGTGACTTTTGATTGGTTGATTATAATGAGCTGCTAAAAGTCACAATTTATAAAAGCCTAGTATACAAAACATGACCAGGCTGAGAACTTTATCATAGAAATGTGGGACCTGTCAGCCTGGAGCAGATAATCTGATGTGGTTTTATCTGTGACAGAGGCTAGTACCAGCCCCTTCAGAGTAATGGCAGATGGGAGTTGTTCTTGCTAATGTGCTTACTCGTTTTTTGTATCTCTGGGTAGGTCTTTATAGTAGGCTTTATAGTCACGTCCTGGACTTAAGCAGGAACTCGTCTGCAGATGTTCTTGCTTGTCCTGGGAGAGCACAGCCTGGTCTGGAAGGTGCCGCAGTCTTGACATGAGTCCCACTGAGACTGTGCAGTAGTTTCATTGCATTGCCCTTTGCAAAATCATGGGCACCCCTGTAATCTTTGTTTCCATGACCTTATTTGCCAGTTCAGTAACTGAATTCTGTCCTCTCTAACCCCTGAGGCTGTTTCCTTGTTCCCGATTGTTTTTCTTGCCCTTCTCCAATCCATTTCTAATTTAAAAAGATGGAGAAAGAGTAGCAAGCACTGCCCTGTAAAGCTGAGAGTTTTGTTTATCTTTACTTCTCCCAACCTGAGAAAAAGATCTTCACAGTACAATGCAAATTCCCACAACAGCAAGATTTTGGTTTTCAAATGGCCAGAGCAGCCAGAAATAGGAAATTCAGATTGAATCTGAGCACCCCATACTTACTGGAGGCCATTCAGGCTATGCGATTGTGGCAGAGACAGTTGCCTTCAAAGGAGAGCAGTCATCACCACTACTCAGAGTAGTAAGTGGCACCTGCCTTACACAGACCTTCCTTCTGGCCAACAAAACAAGTTTTGGTGTTGCAGAGGGTAGAGAGTGGCGCAATATGCTGTGAAAAGAGACCTACCTTCATTATATCCTTGGGCAGTTCCCTCTTCAGAGGCATCTACCATTGCTGAGCAATTGGCTTGGCTAATTTGTAACTGACTATTACTATGCAGTGTTTAAATATTTATTTGTATAAATATTTGTTTACATAAATATTACTGCATATCACCAATATATGAGATGATAAATTGAAAGTAGCCCACAGGGATCTTTGCTACTCATTCGATGGATTATTTGATTAAGGTTGAAAATGGGAAGATCTGTCTGCCTCTTCCCCCCACCACCACCCTTTTCTTCCCAGAAATTGAGAGTGGATGAAAAGGATTTCAGATTGTTTATCCATAGAAACAATACGATTTATCTGTAGTGTTGGTCCCTGGGAGTGAGCAATGCAGAAAGCAGTTGTAATTTAATACTAAGCCGATGAGAGGTGCCTTGATTTTTACAGCAGGTGAAGATTATGCAGGCGTAGCCTCTAGCGTTAATTGTGAGCAGGGGAGGGAACTGTCTGTTTTTTTTGCCTGGTAGTAGTGACAGCATAGATTTTTCTTTTTACACAACTCAGCAGAACTCCTGTTCTACAAGCATCATAGCAGGTTGCTTTAGCTTTTGATTTCCAGTTAACGTATCTTGACAGTTTTGCTATATCTAGGCCTTCTTTTTCCTGGGGACTGAGCATGTTGTTTGCTCTTGGGTTTTTTTTGCAAGGAGAAGAGAGGGAAGGGTAGTTTTAGTTCATTGTGGGCACCTTTTGAATATTTCATTTTTCCTGCCCCAACTGATACACTTCTGTGATGGTCTGAGAATGGGAGAAAACTCATTTTGCTGATGTAAATCAGTACTGATGTAAAATGAGTTGGTGGCTTATTTGCAGAGACCTTGAATTGCTGCTGGGTGGATGTGGGGGGATGAGCGAAGGCAAGGAGAGCCAAACATGTTCTTTGTTGTAGCTTTTCAACTCTATTTGGTGTAAACTTAACTTTTTCCTGAACTGCTCCTACTGCAGAACCTATTGATGAAAAGAGTGGGGAACTCAGGATCCTGTTTTCATTTATGACTCAGCAAAGTTAACAGACTGTGTTAAATTACTGAAGCAGCTTTGATGTGATTTCCTGTGTGAGAAGTGGAGAAAGCCAAACCTATTAACGTTGCACATTACTGTTCAATGTAAAATAAAAGGTGCTTGCTTTAGTCCCCAGTTTCAAGTGAATATATTACTCCCATTTGCTTTCATTGCATTTACAGTGAGAACAGCACAAGCAATCATTTAAATCCTACTTAATAGAGCTCTCTTTGGGAGAGCAGTACTTACAGGTGCTGCAGAAAATAAGTTTCCTTTCACCGAGGCAGGGGAAAGAGGCTGGCGGTATAAGAGTGCAACTAGATAAAACTTGCAACCTCTGCAGAGGTTCCTCAGGCAGTAGCACTGACCGTTACTCAAAACCCTTGGTCTAGCACTGGCCCTGCTCCAAGCACTTTGTTCTCTAAAGGTGCCCTGACAGGGACTTACCCTCCATGGCTGGAGCAGGCGATGCCTCCTTAGCTGTAAGAAAAAGAGCCTGGTGCTGCTCATCATCTGAAGGAGAAATCTCCCCAAAAGTGGTATTGCTCTATCACAGTAATTGCAAGCTTTGACAGACCGTGATTTACTTCGTTGGAGAGAGTAGGGCTAGTGCATCGTCCTCATGGTCGGCAGCAAGCGGCTGCGCCCTGCCCATTTTTTAGGGGTAGCTACACTGTGTGTTAGACTTTGATTGCCCAGTTCAGGAGCCTGTTCTAGCAGTTCTTTCCCCATTAGTGATTACAAGCAGATCAAGAGGCTGAATATTAGCCATTTGGGTTTTTTAAAGATACGTTTCTACCGTATGACACACTATCACTGCAGAGTCCAGATTTCTTAGCTCTCAGTATGCTCCATTTTGTCGTTCTTCAAGCATCCATGGGAGATGTGTATTGTAACTGGTGAAATCAAAATCCGGGATGCAGAGGCATCACAAGTAATGTTATCCCTGAAGAAGGCTTTTCTCTTTTTTTCCCCGTTGGTTATTTTGAAGAAAACACTGCTCTCGTGGCACCAGCTGGCTGTCTATCTCTGTAAACCTTTTTTTGCTGCTCTGAGTCAGGATATACAGTGAAATTTTCTGTAGCGGAGGGAAGCCGGCAGTTGGGCGTCTGTTAATAGCCTGAAAGTAACTAATGAGGATGTGCAGTCGGAGCGATTGATTGAATAGCTGCAGTCCTGTGTGTTTCTTTTTCGCTTGCTCGCTTGCTCGCTTGCTCCCTGCAAGCTGTGGGAAGGGAGGGGGAACAGAGAGACCTGGCTTTCTCTTAAGTGGAAGTAGCACGGATCCCCAGGGCCAGGCAGCCAGAAATGGAAGTTTAAGCTGCATCTGTCTCTTGAAAGGAAAACGGCAGGAGTCAAAATGTCACTGTCTGGAGTCACGGTTTACTCCTTTTCTTTAAGATCCAGAAGATAACAATGGACTTTCTGCTAGGAAGTGATTTTTTTCTCTCCCTGTGTTGGGGGATGTTTTGTGGAGCTGGATTCCTTTAAGTCTGGCAATTGAGCTGGAGATGGGCAGCAGTTGTGATAAAGGTATCTGTATGTACATGTATCTAGCTATATATATAAAAATGTATATATGTACAGTGTGTGTGTGTGTGTAGAGATTAAGTGTGTATACTTTATTATGCTGCTATTCTAGTATTTATACAAGAAAAAGATATGTGTGTCTTTTATTAATATTTGTGCTCATCAGATCAGCCTGCGTGGATTTAAGATGCCAAAGTCGTATCTTAGTAAGGTCATATTGGCAGTATGAGAAGTTGACCTATTTTTTTATCTGCAGAGATATATATGTCATATAACCCAGGCAGTTATGAGACTTCTGCTGGTTGCATGGTTTGAGCAAGTTGTGGGATCATATAAGACCGAACTTTGACCTTTGTAAAACTGTGTTCAGCTGTGACTAAGATTGAGCTTCCTTGTGTTTTGATTTTAGTTATCTGTTAGTTACTGCACTGCTTATGTAAAAAAAAAAAAGGGGGGCAAAAGAAAAAGTTCTCTGAATACAATCCCACAAGCAGTAATAGAACACTAGATATGTTTTGGTATTATCTTTACCAGCATTTTTTATTTTAATCGCCTATTGCCTACAGTCAAGTCAGATTCACAACTTTGAATTTGTCTGTGGAAATGCCATTGTAATTTAGTAAGTAAATAGTATATAGAGAAATAGGTGAGTGTAATTTAGCAGTTTAGTAATGCACTTGAAACTTTGCTGAGGCGTCTGTCCTATACAACGTAAAACCTGATTATTCCCCACCCCCCAACACCCATTCACCTTTTTCTTCTCTTCCTCAGAGGTCCCAGCAGAGAGATCTCCTCGCAGACGGAGCATCTCCGGGACCAGCACCTCTGAGAAAACCAACTCCATGGATGCTTCGAATACTTCCCCTTTCAAAGTGCCAGTAAGTGTGCCTTTCCTGCAAAGGAAGAATTTTTCTCATTGAATAGGAGGAGGAGATTAAAATATCAGTGTACAGCTAAGCTCTGGGGGGTGGGGGGTGATGGAATGGGTGGAAGAAAAGTAAAAAAAGAGTATTTAGTTATATTTCCAGTTGACCAAGAGGTATTGCTATCAAATGTCATGTATTATCAATGAGATTTCTGATAGATCCATGACTTGCTTATTTTCATTGCCTTGATCTAAAGTTGCAAATAGTGAAACTTCAATGTTAATGTGGGCAGTGACCTATATAAATATTTTTGAAGTTGTCACTAGGGATTGTATTATATATTCAATTTTGACTAGGAAAAATGTTCCTTTAGTTTGGTGATAGCATGCTGTTTTTCCCTCATGCCGATGAGGTACATTGAAATGGCTTTATAGTTTATTCAGAAGCTGATGGAAATTCTGCAGGTGTGTTAATTGCTCTTTAGGTCTTCAGTTTTTGGTGTGAGTTTGGCCATGAGTCTGCATGACACTTTTTCAGTTAGAGTCTGAATTTTCTTCCTTGTGTCAGTCTTTGCTCAGTGTATTCAAGAGCACAAAGACCTTTCTATTATTAGACTGAGGGCAAATGTTTCATGTTGAAGTAAAGTGCTCAGTAATTTTTCAACAATATGTGTTTCAAAATATCTAATCTGAATATTGAAAATATTTGTATACCTCTATTTTTGGTAAGTAATCTGCCTACTTTAAAACGTGGGGAAAACCAGGAGAATTATCTAGTGAACATTGGGGTTGTTTGTATATTTTTCTATAGACATTTTGGTACCTTAGTGTATGTGTTCTTGCTTTGCTTTAGATAGCACTCATCCCTTTTAAGCACACTTCCTACCTCACTTTGGATACAAATGTGTGTGAATATGTTTTTTTTATTAAATCCTATATTGTGTCATTTTAAAAATACAATTTAAAAACAGCCAAGGATTTTGTAAAAGCCATCAGAATTATAAAAGGATTAAGGTTGGTCAGAGTGTACAGGATATATGGTGTTTAAAGCAACCTGTCATGATTTATTGGAATTGAAAAAGGTACCAAGGAAGCAGTGACTGTACTGGGTTTCCACACTCATTCCCTTTTTAGAGTCATAGAATAATACAGATTGGAAGGAACCTCTGGAAATCTCTGATGTGTCCCCCTCTTCAGAGCCGGACCAACTTACATCAGGTTGCTCAGGGCATTCTCCAGTCAGGTGTTAAAAATCTCCACGTATGCAGATTGCACAGCCTTGCTGGATGACCTCTTCTGATGTTTGACTAATCTCATTGTGAAGAATATTTCTTTTGTAAAGGCTTTTTTGTCAGAACGTAACTTGAACTTCTAATGTCTATTGAAAGACCATGAATCGCATTTTCCTCTAGTTCAAAAAATATCTGAAGTAGCAGTTAAAGCAGAATATATTGCTGAGTCTTGAGAAGAGAAAACTCTGAGGGAAATTTTAGCAATGTGTATAAATACCTGATGGAAGGGAATAAAGACGACAGAGCCAGGCTATTTGGACGGAGGCTGTGAGCACAAATGGAAATATAAGACATTCCACTTAACCGTAAGAAAAACCTGTTTTCACTGTGAGGGTGGTCAAGCACTGGAACAGGTTGCCTGGAGAAGTTGTGGAGTATCCATCCTTGGAGGTATATTTAGAATCAGACTAGACACTTTCCTAAACATCTTGCTCTAATCATCTTGATTTGAGCAGAGGTGTTTGGACTGGATGATCTCCAGAGATGCCTTCCCACCTTACCTATTCTGTGAATCTATGAACTGTTCTCTGTCACTTCAGTTACCTGTTTTCTGGGTGGTACTTAGAGCAGGGGGGAAGAAGGGTCCTGATCTGGTTGCATGTGAAGCCGTCACAGGAATATTTTTGTTATGTCAAGTTCTGAGATTCTCATGTTGAGCCCATAGTCCACACAGTTCCAGGAGGGTTTCTGAAATCTAAGAGCCTTCAAGTCCTAGCTATTCTCTTGATCATTTATAAGAAATTCTCTGTCTTCTTGTCCTCATCTATAAGTAATTGCCCTTACCTTTAGATGTGTACATGCGCTGTCATAGTCTTTGCCTAATGACTGCAAGCTATGTATCAGAAGCATTTGAATACTGTCTGTATTATTTGTTTTATATGCCTTATTTTTTTTTTGTTCCTCATTTTTGTAATTTTTAGAACATTGATACTATCTTTTAAGCTATGTTTTAATGCTAATTCTAATTTTTCTCTAGTACCTCTTAGCTCCTGCTCCCTTTCACAACAAGAATCTTGCAGAATGTTTCTCATTTCCCCTGGCAGTGTATTGTGCTTTTAGGATTCTGGCAAATAGGCTCAGGAAGCAGTATGCCTTTCTTGGGCATAAACCAGGAGGAAAAAAACCAAAACCAAAACTAGAAGCTATCTGTGCCACGTGTAGCTGGTATTATGCTTCTTTGTCTGCCTGGCCACCTGTATACCCAGGAGCATAATGCACCCTACTGTCTTCCTCATAGGGACAAGCTTCTGGCATTATAGGTTTTGCTGTGAATAACCCATTTATATGCTGTTCCTCCTTAGCAGGTTGAAGTGCAGGTGGGGGCTGATGTCACCCTGTTTTAAAACATGCCAGCTTTTGATCTGTTTAAGAGAGTAAGCTGCAATTAGAAGTCTGATTGCTTAAGAATACAGATGAGCTCAAGCCAAAACTATAGAAATAAAATACACTCTTAACTTTGTGGATTGGCACACATCTAATAGGTGGATGATAAGATGGGGAGGAATCATGTTTCTTCCTTTGATTTTTATTAAGAATTTTCCAGCTCTCAGAAATAGGTAAGATGACTTGAGCACCTCATGAAAGTCTCAGATCAGTGGTCTGAGAAAGGCTTCAAGTGAAGAATGTAAGGGGTGCCTATAATGACTTTGAATTTGTGTGTGTGAGAGGTCATCTTTAAATTATTCTACATCTAAAGGAGAGAAATAATAAAAGAACTTGAGGTTTTTTTTTCCCAAACATTGACACCTACTGTATAGGTTGGAGGGCTATGGGCAGCTGTTGTGTAGTGCTGTCTCAGTTATTCTTTCTTTGGCCCTGACTCTGTGCCATACCTTCTACTCACTGCTTGGATTTTTTTAACAGAAAGCAGCTTAAGGCAGGGGACAGCTTAACCTTTTTCCATACCGATGGAAAATTATGCTGAGACTTTCATAATAAGTTGCTTTTACAGCTTTTTAAGTTTGCCTCTCAGAAAAGCTATTTAAAAGCTGTCTTCTCAATAGGACAGTGGCTTCCAGCATGCTCTGTGCAGTTGGGTTTTTTTCCTTTCAAACACCAGGCAGTGGTACTCCCTCAGAACAAGGCATCTGGTTTTTTAATACTGCTAATTGGCATTTGTTTAGCATCTGGAATTTTGATTCATAACAGCATAATGGCCTTAAGCAAACATTTCCTTGACGAGACATTTTTTAAGTAGTCTTTTCAGTGGCAGTGGTCAGTGAAGGATTTATTTTAAGGGGCTGATGCGTAAAGTGCAGGAAATTTGCCTTCCTACCTCCCGCATGTGCACTGAAGGAAAAGTCGTATGTTCAAATTTACTGTTGTGTGAAAAGTCAAATTTCAGTAGTTGCAAACATACTCTTTCTCAAGACTAACCACTACATGGACCAGCATGTGCAAAATGTTTGTTCCGGTTATGTCCCACCAAAGAGTATAAAGTGGATTTTGCTAATGCAGACACTGCACAGCACAAGGCATACATACAGAGATTAGAGCTCTTGGTGCTTGTCCTTTCTTTTTTTGTTCCCATTTCCCCCAAAATTCTTGCCTGCACTTGAAACAACTAGGTTCAGTTTGTTAATTGCTGTTTGACAATTTCCAAGTGTATCTGGGAAGAATATTGAGCAAGAATAGAAGGGCGTGAAAGGTAGGAAAATTGAGATGAGGAAGTATGTAAGTGTGTCATCTCACATACAGATAGATCTGTGCTGTTTATAGACATGTACATATAGGAAAAGTAATTTTTAATAATGAATATTATTTGACTGAACAAATAGGAAGGCAGACGGAACTGGCTAGAAGTAGGCATTGTGACGCATAGGTGGGCGAGAAACCAGCTTTTCCCTTCCCACACACACACCATGTCCTGGCAGAGTGTCTCAGTCTCAGTGCATCCCGTTCCCTACTGTTGCACTGTTGAGCCCTGATAGTACTGTGGCAACCTACCATATTTTCTCATTGCTCTGCCACTGGAATTGAGGGACCAATGTAAATATATGATTATCAAGACCTTAAAATCTCTTGCAGTGGAAGGATAGAGAGGAATTGCTAAATCACTCTTCATACTTGGGTTGCGCACTCCAAATTTTGCTTCTTTGGGGTAGGGTTGTTAGTGAGTTGTTATTACAAATAATACATGATTCATGCATGTCTGCTGGCTATTAGAAAAAAAAATATGAGAAAGAGGCAAAGAAGCAAGTGCAAATGAGATAGCAAAGCCAGAACACAATCTTTGAAGTAAATAAAATAAATTTTATAGGAATCCTGTGTGTGTGTATGATGGGAAGACTGATACATACAGATTGCCTTCCTTGGTTTGCTTCTAGTCAAGGGTATAATCAGATCTATAGAAATACTGTCTGCCTCTTTGCTCTTTAAGAGTACTGCTAAATGGAACACAAGACAATGCAGTCAGCCTAAGTGAAGGTCAAAGCTTGATGAGATCTCGTGGCTGCCCAGCCTCATCTTTTAGGCAGTCAGCAAGATTGTTACTTCTCCAGAGCACTGCTCTGCTACCATCGTGCTACCAGGTTAGGACAAGTCTGACCTTTCTAGCTATGTGAGCTGACGGCATACAAGTACATACTCTTAATTCTGCATCAGCACCAACGCAGAGACAGAAGTGTTGATTTACATTAGTGTGAGGCATCGTGGCACCCTTCGTGAAAAACTGCCTGTGCTCAGATCTGTTAATGTAAGGTTAACATTTTATCATTTGCCT